AAACTACCCAAAAATCTTCAAGAGTGATCTTGGGGGATCATTCGAGACAGTGTCCAGTCCGGCAATGGAGCAATCTGATTGGTTGATTTTAGTTATAATTCGCCCCTCAGAACTAACTTCGTCGAGTAACTTCTATATATTCGAGCTTATTTCAGTAGCTCCAGACTTGGATACGAGGCTGGGGCGTAGAGTGAAATGAGCAGGGTTTAAGAGTTAAAAGGTGGGGGCCCAGGTTAAAATACACGACCCACACAGTTTGCCAGAGTTTGATCACGACGACGCCAAACGTGTTTGAGTGCATGAACTCTCCCATTTTGTTTTCTGTCGTAAAACATGGTGCGTTGACATAAAAAATGCTATCAATCACAGTTTATAATTCAAATGTGAGAGTTTGATGATAACTATACATTTCTTTTAGTTTATGAAGCTGTACAGTTAGTAAGCTTACTAGACTAAAATCAGCAAATTAAAAAAAAAATAACTAAGCCTACGATTTTCACTTCGTAGTTTTCATACACACCGTGGCAGAGTAGCTAGAAGATTCATAAGGACCTTCAATTGATTTTCCAGACATAAGCGCTGTGTTCAAGAGTTCAATTATCACAAAACATCTATGATGACCGATGGTCAGGATCGATTATTTCGCCATCTTGTTTGATAAAATTTGCACTGCTGGAGAGAGACTGGGGAGGAGTCTGCGTGAGTGGGGAGGAATGGCGCAGTCAACAGTGTTGGGAGTTTCGTTTGCGGAAAATTATGCAATATTGTCCTTGAAAAATGGGGAAAACAGGATCGATATGGAATTTTTAAAACAGTTTAATTCTGCTTTGGATGAAATTGAAAGGTACCTACGTTCACGTGTTGTTGTAAAGCTTTAAAGTCTTCATATGCATGCATGCTGATGGTTCCAGAAATCTTTTAGACCCCCCAGCTGTGCGCAGGGTTCAGCTTAAGTTATGCAAGACGGTGTTAAGGGATAGAAAAGAAAACGTGTAGCTTACTAGCAATAGGCATGTAGCTAACCGTAAACGANGCTCAAGGTCTGGATCTGCCACTGTTTATGTACCAATAAACATAAAGGCTACTCACCCTAGCTAGATGTTTAATGTCTATGTGATGCCATGGCCTCCCTGGGAAAGGGAAGGGATCCCATGTGAAAAGGTTGGGGATGTTCTTTGTCTTGCTTTTAGGGGTCAAATAAAGTTCACACTGCACCCAAGATTTGTCTTCTTGGGGTTTAATGCAAAATTTCTGATTGACACCCTCAACCTTCTCTCATAAAAGTCCTACCCCCCCCCACCCTGGGGCATTTTTTGGGTAAAAATAAGCTTTATATACCTATATATCTTATAAACCAAGTGTAAGGGTTGGGAGAATATCGGTCCAATTCTAGACAAAAGAGACTGAGGGCTGATATTCTCCTGCTACAGTCCTGAGCAAGCCTGGTTAATAAGAGATTTATTACGTGACTAAAACTACCCAAAATTCTTCAAGAGTGATCTTGGGGGATCATTCGGGACAGTGCCCAGTCCGGCAATGGAGCAATCTGATTGGTTGATTTTAGTTATAATTTGCCCCTCAGAACTAACTTCGTCGTGTAACTTCTAGATATTGGAGCTTATTTCAGTAGCTCCAGACTTGGATACGAGGCTGGGACGTAGAGTGACATGAGTAGGGTTTAAGAGTTAAAAGGTGGGAGCCCAGGTTAAAATACTCGACCCACACAGTTTGTCAGAGTTTTATCACGACGACGTCAAACGTGTACGAGTGCACGAACTCTCCCATTTGGCTTTCTGTCGTAAACCATGGTGCGTTGACATAAAAAATGCTATCAATAACAGTTTATAATTCAACTGTGAGAGTTTGTTGATAACTATACATTTCTTTCAGTTTATGAAGCTGTACTAGACTAAAATCAGCAAATTAAAAAAAAATAACTAAGCCTACGGTTTTCACTTCGTAGTTTTCATACACACCGTGGCAGAGTAGCTAGAAGATTCATAAGGACCTCCAATTGATTTTTCAGACATAAGCGTTGTGTTCAAGAGTTCAATTATCACAAAACATCTATGATGACCTATGGTCAGGATTTACTTCGCCATCTTGTCTGATAAAATTTGCACTGCTGGGTTGAGACTGGGGAGGAGTTTGCGTGAGTGAGGAGGAATGGCGCAGCCAAGAGCGTTGGAAGTTTCGTTCGCGGAAAATTATGCAGTATTGTCCTTGAAAAATGGGGAAAACAGGATCGATATGGAATTTTTAAAACAGTTTAATTCTGCTTTGGATGAAATTGAAAGGTACCTACGTTCACATGTTGTTGTAAAGCTTAAAAGTCTTCATATGCATGCATGCTGATGGTTCCAGAAATCTTTTAGACCCCCCAGCTGTGCGCAGGGTTCAGCTTAAGTTATGCAAGACGGTGTTAAGGGATAGAAAAGAAAACGTGTAGATTACTAGCAATAGGCATGTAGCTAACCGTAAACGAGACTATTAGATGCTGACCGTAGATAACAACTTTACATTAATTTTCCAGTGCTGCACTTCAGCTACTAGCTGAAGGAAGTGCATACCATCATTGTCATCAGTTTGTAAGGTTCAAAGCCCATGCAAGGAGATGATCTTTGGTTGATAAATTAACCGTAAAGTATCCATTCAAACTTGTAATGAGAAACAAGGTGGAAAGAAATGCTGATAAGCAGAGATAGCCAGAGACATCCACGTTTCTCCCTGAGAAATTACATTTTTTGGCTGTGCACTGTCCACCCTCCCACCCCTCCCCCACCATCTGAAGGATGCATGATAGAACTGGAGCAGGCACTAGCTGTGAACTCACATTCTTTTCAATGATGTCATCTGAATTGAAAATATGAAGCTCTGATATTAGTCCATATTAGTGACAAAACACTTTGACCATGTCCAAGGAGTTGAGTGTTGCCGGGCAGAGTTGTGAGAGTATTTGACCCATTCCAATTTGGCCTGGGTTCAGATCCCACAATTGGCATCATATTGCAACCTTCAGAGTGGAAAAATGTACTGCGCAGCTTTCTGCGCATCCCTAGCCCTGCTTGCAGGCTGGGTAATAAGGCAGGTTGCCATGGTAGAAAGAATGTCAGACTGATAATGAGGTATGCAAGGACATTGTTTCATTGATTTATTTATACTTAAGCAAGCATGAATTTTTTTTGGTATTTCACTGTTCAGAAAACAAGGCTCCCCCTGCCTGCTGAGAGGCTCTCTTGCTTATATTTTCAGTGGTTTGCTTATGAACATGCGATATGTGAAGAGGGTTTGTGGAAAAATTGTGTCTTTGTACCGAAATGTCTTGTGTACTGAGGGGAAATAAAGGGCTTGGAAACCTTCTTAATGTTAATTTTGTCCGAAAAAAGATTGATTCTCCGCAAGAACATTACACCAGCTTTCCAATAGTGACAAGAAAATGTTGCTACTTACTGGGAAAATCAAGAAAGCATAATTTATTTCATAACTTTTTTTGTTTACCTGAACGATGAAATTCCCGCCATTTTTTCAAACTGGGAGCCTGATGCGCAGCCAAAACTTGGGCATGCTTATTACGTTTTTCCGCTCTGAAATTGTAACCTTGTTCCCAGGGTCCCCTCTCTTCCTCCCTTAGAGTGAGTTGAGTGTATTGTTGTCTCTGGTCCTTGCTCCAAGGGATTCCCCTACCTCACCACCCCCTCCCCCATGCAGGTTTCACAAAACTACCTCCACAAAACCAACTATTGTTCCTAAATTCTAGTTTAATCTGGAAATTATGCAAAGTCCCCTGGGTTATTAGTATATAATAAGACTTATGTGCTTGATGTGGACATCACATACAGTGGAATCCCGAATTTTTGAACCTCCGAGGAAAATGAAAATTGGTTTGAATAATCAAAGAGTTTGAGAAATTGGGGGTTAAATTACAGTATTTGAATGAGGAGAGGGAACAACTTTTGATTCAAGTTATCGGGAGGTTTGAAAAATTGAGGGTTTGAGAAATCGAGACATAACTGTAATATTATTTTTACATCTAAAATATATCTATGGACAACTACAACTACAACAACCACAACAACAACAACGGCAACACTGTGACTGTGTTAGAAAACACAAGGGTCAAAGAAATTCCAATGAACAGCGTCAACCTTTTCTCGGAAGAGACCATTACACTGATATTTCTTCATGAAATACCAGTGTATTTAATGATTTATCAGTTATGTAGAAAATATAATGATTAAGTTGTTTTTTTTTCCTTTTGTTTTTCAAAGGTGCAAGAAAGTTCAGTTTCTCATCACCACTGGAGATGGAAAATTTTATTCAAATGGGCTTGATCAAACATTTCTCAAGACATGTAGTACAGAGGAATTCATGGAAACATTTAATTTGCTTAATAAGACTCTCATCAGATTCATGACATTTCCTGTGTTGACTGTGGCTGCTATAAATGGTATTGTACAGCTTTTTGATCTGAAGTTTTGTGTCAAGCTCAGTATGACTACAAGGGTTCCTATAAATGCTGTTCTGAGAGAAAAGCAATTGAAAAATTTACTGGGAAACTGAAAATAACATATTTTGACATATTTGGAAAATATATTTGGGATGTTTCGCTTGAATTTGTAAAAATTGAAAGAAGGTTGTTTCAAATTTGAAATTTTATAATAATTAACTGTATGGCTCTAATCAAGTTCATAAACCCAAATAGGACCTGGGAGCTTAAAGGTTCTTAATATTTATGTCCTTACTAAACAGTTAGTCCTTGATTGTCACAACAGATTGAATCCATCACCTTTGTAACTAAAGTGTTCACCAATCAAGAAAGTCCACATATATTTGACAAGTTGTGACTGATAGATTTCGCTCCACTGAACTGACTATCTTTAATGCAATGCCATTGACTTGTACGGTATACGGTTTTTATTATTTTGTCATGACTTTTTTCATGATAAAATTAATATATAATTAATTTATATTCTCTACAAACTGCCAAAATTAAAAGCTGATGTGTGTGCACTTTCATTTAACCTTCCGAGCGATAAAGGTTAGTCAGTTTTTCAATTAATTGAAAATGGAAATAACAGGAAATCAAAAATCCAAATGACCTGAGTTTATACCTACTTCATTCATTAACACTGGGTAAAATATCTTCAGTTTGCTCCATTAGTTAAAATGCTAAACAATAAAAAAGATTGTCTTGGTGGGGTTTACATGTTAAACAAATTGATTATCTGGTGTTCCACAGGACATGCCTTTGCTCTTGGAGCAATTTTAGCCCTTGCACATGACTACCGAGTCATGAGAACTAAAAAAGGTTGGTTCTGCCTACCTGAGGTCAAATATGATATGCTCTTTGGAAAAGCAACTATTTTATTGTTAAGGTAAGACTTAGTGATCAGTACTCTGAAATTTATTATTACCATTTTTGGAAATAATTACCGTTGTTATTTATCCCCCTTACCTTGAGTTGAGTTGAGTAATGAGTTGATCACTTTATTTATTCACAGTAAAAATTCCTTCCGATAAGCACTCCCCTCTGACCCTATATCTGACCCTGTATTTGACACATCCCCCTACCTTGAAGGTGTTTTAACTGAATGGTGCTGAATGTAAGTTATGTTTTCAATCAAGAACTATTTTCAGTGATGCTAACTTTCAGGTCTCGTAACATTTTGTTCTACTGCTCATTTTGTTGTTGTAAAAAACATGTTTTAGAGCAAAGATTAAAGAACCCAAGGTACTCACAGATGCTGTGCTCATGGGATGGCGTTTTGTGGCAGAAGAAGCTCTCTCTGGTGGGATTGTCCAAAAGATTTGCGACATAGAGGATTTACTGAATACAGCTGTACATATGGGTCAAGCAGTCATTGGACAAAATATCTTCAAAAGAGATACTATTAAGCATTTAAAATCACAGCTGTACAGTGACATCATCAATGCCTTTCAAAGTGATACTGTTAGCAGACAAGGGGTTCTTCAGAGCATTGCTCAGTTTGATAGAAAGTCAAAACTCTGACTATTAAGTTTTTGAGCTAGGTAATGGTAAAGTTGCAAAGGTGATACCTTGATAGGTTTAAGTAGCAAAATATATTATTTTTTGATTTTTATGTAACATATCTAATCCAAATAAAGTACAACCAAGTTGACTTAATTGGCTCACACAAAATAGTGACAAAAAAGGAAAAACAATAACAGTAAAATAATGGGAAGACCAAATCAGGCCATACCAACAATTTCTTTTGTTGTCTTTAAAATGGGGAAAAAAAAAAGATTTCCATGCAAGGGCGACATCACAACTCAACGAGAAATCTGTCACTGAATAGTCACCTGGAGGGGGCACTGCCATATATGGGCTATATAGGTACTATGTGCCACTGTGAAGGGTATGGTTTTCAAGCAGTGTACTGTAGGATAGGGTATATAAATCAGAGCGTTTGGGTCTAGAATAGGGTATAATTTTTCACAAAACTGACTAGTTGGTTGAACATTTTATCTAGACCAAGGAAACCAGGAATTGCCACTCAAAAATATAAAAAAATCAAATCAGCAAGTTTAAATTTATGCAAATTAGCCTTAACAGTGTTGATAGATGGGGGGATTTGGGGAATTTACTCTAGTATAGGGTAGCAAAATTCAGCTCAACTAGCTCTGGTACAGGCTAAGGGTTCCAGGGTCCCAGCACACATGCCCACCCAGAAATTCCCAAAGTACTCCCCCTGGGAATAGTCAACAATGAATGAATCAGGATTCATCTATTTTACGCATTTTCAATTACACTAGCTAGACTACAGTCATTATGATTGTCTGCCAAGTATACTATCCTATACTACATAACCTCATTTGTTGCCAAAGTAACATAATTTATGATAAGATGACTGTGGTTTGAAAATGATGATATTTAATTGTGTGACGTTGTATGGTGGTAAGATAATAAAAGTGATATTTGTTAAAAAAAATTATGTGGAAATCTGGAAATGTTTACCCTGACAGAAACCAAGCACTCTGACTGACCCGTGAAATTAGGGATCTATATGTTAGAAAATTCATCAAATTATGAATTTGCAGTCGTTATGTTCATAAAGTTACTTTGGAGTAATTTTTATAATGAATGGGTAGAAGAAAATCTTGAACGTTTTGAAAATTAATTTTGTACGTATTGTTTGTTGCTTTTGGACTCTCCTGGAGACTAATATGTGCTAGGTAAACTCAGATCAGACAACGGCCTCTATCCAATATTTGTGTGCCCTTGCTTCTGTTACTGTCCCTCCCCTGGAAGGTACAAAAACGGTACAGGTCACGGCTTACCCTGGTTAACCTGAATAGCACTCCGATTAGCCTGAAGGATGCTAAGGTTATGGTTAGCTCTCGATAATGGTGTTGGGTCAAGCTCTTATTTCCTGCACGGCGACCTGTGAACTATGGTCGATGTGTCGGGTCTGCCGATCCCTCCCCACCCATGTCAAGTGTGTGGCCTGCCTCGTTTTGGAGATTAACCGCTGAAAGGTGCTGACAGAGAGTGAAATTTATTCACCTACGAAGTGCGAACTGTCTTTACCGTAGTGAGCTTCACAAGAACTACCTGGATCGTTCAGCAATTTAAAATGGATCGCACACATCAGGCTCCACGAGTTATCATCTACCCCAGGCGGGTTCATCCTAACACAGTAAATTGTGGCGGCGAATGTTGTACAAAATGTCTTCTGATCTTTTTCACCATTACATGTTTACTCGTTGGTTTTATTGTGACTATGGTTGGCCATCTTGCAAAGCCTTTTTGGGGTCCCGAAGATGACTGGTGCAACTTCTGTCGAGAGGAAAGGCTTGCGACTGAGCGAAACCTGAAGAACTGTCGAATTGTTGGGCCGATATTTCTGGCCATCGGTGCTTTGTTACTGTGCGTTTCGATTTTCTATTGTCACTTTAAAAGGAAAAGTAATCAAGGTCAAGTTATAGCGGGAGCTTCCAACATCCAAAGTGGTCAAACCAGTCAAGCAGGAACCGCTTCTACTCACTATCCACCAAATACCTTCGGATATCAACAGCCTTACGGGCAAACGCCCGCATATCCACCGGGACCTTACCCGGGAAACCCGCCACCATCCGCTGCGGGATCATTCTCCCCATATCCAACAGGGCAAGCATATCCACCAACACAACACCCGTACCCCCCACCCGGTGGACATGGGTATCAGCCATACCCAACAGAGATGCCTCCTCCGCCATCGTATGAAAGTGCTGTTGATCAAAGCACATCTTCTCCAAGTGCTCCCCCTATGGAAAAAGTGGGTTAGACCTAAGAAAATGTTAGGTAAGTTTTAAATTGATTGATCTTTTTACGTTCTTATCTGTAAACATCCTGTGTAACGGCAACCTGGTTCCCAGTGTCTCGCTTCTTCAGTCCCCTTGACCAAGAGAGGGGCTTTAGGGGGTGAGGAGAAGTAGAAGAGAGACCCTTTGAGTGAGGTT